TATAATTATGTTCCTCCTCCACCTCCAAATTGGGCTGAGCCAGCAATGCAAATGGCCGCATCTCCTCGCTATGGACCTTTCAGAAAAAATTTAAAAGTAAATTTAAGAATATAAATATTTATAAAAAATTATTTAAAGGAACAAAATGGCGAGGAAAATATAAAGGAAGAAGAACCAGAAGAAATTCAGAACACCCAAAAAAGTTTGAGAAGATTATAAAATAATCTTTTTTTGTTTTTTTTAACTTTACTTAATAATAAAAATATATTTAAAAAATTAATATGGGCTCATTCAAAGGGGCATATCTCGCTTAATTCTTGTGCCATCTAAGGTTTCTATACCTCATTCGAAAGAGCATAAAAAACCGTGTCTAAAACGTCAGCTCCGATCTGTATACAATAAACACTTCAAAAGATACAAGACCGGGAATTAGCAAGGGGTAGTTTTAAACGTGTGGTAGTTTTCAAAGTGATATAACTCAATGAAAATAGATGCCCTTCTATTAATCTATACCTCATTGGAAAGAGCATCAAAAACTATGTCTAAAATCGTTGGGCTAATCTGTATACAGTAACATTCAAAAAAGTTAGAATGCCGGAAATAATTAGGGGTATTCTTTTTCAATAGGGGGTATATCAAAGTAGGGTAGTCAATGAATTCAACTTGGATTTGGCTGGTCAAAGCTTAGCCGAAAAAGGATACTAAGGGCTAGGCTGCTGGCTATTTCTCTCCTTCAGCTAGATTAAAAGGTTAATCGGCGGCTGGGAGTGAACCAGCATCTTCAGTAGACTGGACTGATGTTTCAACACTCCTTTATCAAATACACCACGCTGCCTCATTCACAGCCTTAGGAATTAAATAGCCTACATGTACAGGCTAAAATACTTCGATTTGTATTCGGGTATTTAAACTCCAAACCGAGGTTCCCTAAAATTTCTTTAAATATTGGCACTTTTATTGACACTTTAATTTGTGATAATTCAAAAATATTTTAGTCTAGTCTTAAAAAAATGATAAGAAAAAATTAAAAAATATAAAATTATTTTTTAATATACTTTGGAGTTAATTAGTCAACAATTATTTTTTAAGAAAATAATAAAAAATTAAATATTTTTAAGATTAAAGCCAAAATCATACGATTATTTATTAATTTTAATAGGAGAATAATAAAAATGAATGTCAGTTAAATTTAAAAAGAAGGGGTCAACTCCGTTCGCCAACACTCCTTTTCCCCCATTTTTTTACTTGTTCCTTGTTCATCTACTTTCCCGTGGACTTAAAAATAAAAATGATAAGAGAGAGAAAGTGGCTAATTTGCCTTCCCTCATATTTGACCAAAACGACATTTTGCCAATAAAGCTAAAATTCCACATTTCGCCAATACTTTGTTGGCAAAATGTGTATTTTTAGCCTTATTGGCAAAATGTCGTTTTGGTCAAATATGGGAATAAGGGCTTTTTTTGTTATCTCAAAAAAAATATTTAATTATTTAACCAATAAATTCATTGCAACAATAAAAATGGGCGGTGTATTAGAGAGGAGAAAAGCATTTATTTAAATTGAGGGGAACAGTTAATATTTCATTGCATTTGAAGCTCATCACAACGAAATAATTAAATTCCCTTATTCCTCTCTAAATATTGGCCATTTCATTGAAATTTTGCCTGTTTAAATTTCAAAGAAAAAATTTTAGAAGAATTTAAGAGGTCATTTACTTAATTCCCCTCCACACACACGTGTTTGTTTAATACACGCGCTTCAAAAAATCACAACATATTTTTCTGTGGATTTTATTCAAAATTTTTTTCAGTCCAAAAAATTAAAAAAAAATTTTCTTTTAAAAAATGGCTACAGCACTAAGTAATGTTCCCTGTCTTATAACTGAATGTGAAACAAAGGCGTCATTTGATGATGAAAATGATTACGATTTGGTGATTTTTATTTGTTTTTATTTCAGGGAATTATCAGAATGATGAAATTAGGAATTTTGTTGAAAATATTTTTATTTATTAGGAGAATATAAAAATAGAACCGAACCCCCTATAGGAAGGGGATCCTTTGGAGGGTTGAAAAAATTCCTACCTTCAGCTAGGTGTATATTAACTGAGGGTATCTGAGGGTATACTAAACTGAGGGAGGGTATCGCTTCACCTTGTGGCTAGTCAAAAACAGAGGTGTATCTGATATAAGGAGTATCTTGTAGTGAGGGTACTTTATAATGAGGTGTCTATTAAATAGAGGGTATCGCTTAGCAAGCTCCCCCATCTTTTGGCCAACCAAGCTTTTAAAGAGCGTCCTTTAAATAGAAGTATTTCTAATATTGGGAGAATCTTTTATGAGTGTATAAAATTAATTTTTAAGGCCTTTGCAATGGACTCCTATGTAGCTGAAGTAGATCCAAACCAGGCACACACAACACTTATTTTTACGCTTAAAGAAGAAGCTGGGGCACTCGCAGAAACACTTAAAGTCTTTAAAGTATAACGAAAAAAATTTTTTATTGAAAAGAAATATTTTTTAATTAAGTTGAAGAACCTCAATTTAACCCACATCGAGTCCAGACCTTCAAAAGTCCATCCAGGATGTTACGAATTTATGGTGGAATGTGCAGAAGATTCAAATCCGGAGAGTTTGGAGGAAGTTATTTCTTTGTTTCGAAGGCGTGCGGAAAGTGCGGGGTTACACAAACCTAGAGTGCATGACCATAATTCGCAAATACGTCAGAATCCTGGTTGGTTTTTTGGATAGCTATGAGGGGGATATGATAGTGGGGATAATCATAAGATGGATACTATACCCATTCCAGCTCCTTCAGCATCAACTCCAAGCTCATTCGTTCCAATAGGCGCCCACATATTCCAATAGTAGCACACTGATTCCAATAAAAACCCACATATTCCAATAGACGCCCACTCTTTACGGTATCTCCTCTCTTTTAGAAGCCCACCCCATTAAAAATAAATGCCCATTAATTCCTCTTTTTATACAGAAAGCGTGCCTTGGTTCCCAATGAAGATGTCAGATATTGACCATTTTGCCAATCGTGTATTAAGCTATGGCGCAGAACTTGACGCTGACCATCCGGTTTTTAAAAAATTGAAAAAAAATATTTAAAAGTTTTTAAGGGTTTTCATGATGAAATATACAGAGCCCGACGAAAGGAATTTGCAGATATTGCCGCTTCTTTTCGCTAGTTGGAGAGATTTTTTAAATTAAAAAATAAATTTTCCTTCAGTGGAGATAAAATCCCTCAAGTGGAATATACTCTAGAAGAGGTTGGGACTTGGAGGAAAATTTATGAGGAATTGGTGGGGCTATATCCAACACATGCCTGTCGAGAATTTAATTATGTATGTGTATTTTATAGCCGAAACCTCTTTATAAGATACCCCCAATATTAGATACACCTCTATTTAAGGGACACCTTACACCTCGTTATAAGCGACTATTTTTAACATCAAGTGGTGTATCCTATAGTGGGAGTCCACAGTCTAAAATTTTAATTTATATTTTTATAGATCTTCCCTCTTCTACAACAAAATTGTGGGTACGGCCCAGACCATATCCCACAACTACAAAATGTTTCTGACTTTCTAAAAGACTGTACTGGCTTTACATTGCGTCCAGTAGCCGGTCTGCTCAGTTCAAGAGACTTTTTGGCTGGATTAGCTTTTCGAGTAAACTTTTGAAAAATTAGTTTTTCAAGCAAAATTTAAAAAGGTTTTCCACTCAACCCAATATATTCGACATTCATCCAAGCCAGACTATACACCAGAACCAGATGTCTGTCATGAACTTTTGGGTCACGTTCCTCTTTTTGCTGATCCAGATTTTGCTAAATTTTCTCAAGAAATTGGAATGGCTTCTTTAGGGGCTTCTGATGAAATGATAGAAAAGCTTGCTTCTGTGAGAGAGAAATTTTAAGAAAATAAAAAAATTCTTTTAAGTTATATTGGTTTACTGTTGAATTTGGTATTTGTGTACAAGAAGGGGAGAAGAAGGCTTATGGAGCTGGTCTACTTAGCTCGTTTGTTTTTTTAATATTTATTTGCCTATTAGGATTGACAGGGATGCAACCTAGCAGTAGCATAAGCTTTCCATAAAAAAGTCACTTTTGGTGTAGTGGGAAAATGCTAGAATTTTAATAAAAGGGTCGAGGGTTCGAATCCCAGCGTCGGAAAATGATTTTATTTTATGGCCCAATTAAGCTAAAGCGCTAAGAACGGCTAAATGACTAATTTTTATTTATTTTTCATTTTAGTTTTGGAGAATTACAATATGCACTAAGCGGAAAGCCAGAATTACTCCCCTTTGACCCAGCAATGACTACCGAAACAAAATATCCAATTACTTCTTTTCAACCAAAATACTTTGTAGCTGAATCTTTCACTGATGCTAAAAATAAATTAACGTTACTTCCAATAATTTTAGAAAAAAATTTAAAAAATTAATTTTTAGGGCTTGGGCTGCAACAATTCCCCGAACATTCCAAGTTAGTTATAATCCTTATACTCAAAGAGTTGAATTATTGGATCATCCAAAAGCTGTTCAAAAATTGGCTAAAGATGTTAAAAGTTTGTCTTTTTTATTAAAGAATTTTTAAAAATTTCCTTCCAATTTTTTCCAGCACAAATGGCAAAACTTGAAGATGCCCTCAAAAAATTGAATTTTTCCAAATAATTTTTAAAAAGTGCAGATTCTTTCGAACGCTTACTTAGTTGATTCTTTTGAATATTTTCACTTATATATATTTTAAATTAATTTTTATGTATCTTCAAACAATATTTATATTAACCAAAAACAACAATTTTTTATATAATTCTTGAATCAATTATATAATTTCAAAAAAATTTCCATTTTTTCTCTCCTCTCCTTGTCAATCAAAAAACATTAGCACTTCACTTCTTCCAAAGCTAAATAAAAAAATTATTAAATTGAAAAATAATAATGTATTAGAGTCCCTTCCCCTATGATAAACTTTATGGAATGGTTAAAATACCCCGTCTGTTTTAGAACCTAATCCCCTTTGCTCATTAATATAGCTTCTCATTGTGGTGGGTTGAAAAATAGAGCTACATGGGCTCTTGACCTCCAAAGAACCAAGCACAGCCCAAACTCTATTACAGAAAATATATTATCTAAAAATTCAAAACCTTCTTTAATTAGCATTAGAGTTGGAACTTCCTCATCACCCTCTTGACGATATTCAACAATTGCTACTTGCCCTTCTCCCTTTCCCTCAGCCATATTCTCACCTTTAAATGTTTAAAATTCAAAAATAAAATTTAAAAAATACCAATAAAAAATGCAAGAGTTTTGAAACGGTCCTTAGCTAACAAAGAAACAACCCAAGACTGAATTTTCTTCTTAAAAGCGTCAACTTGTTCAGCAGACTTTCCTTGTTTCTGCATATGCTCAATAACCTTCTTCATAAAATCTTTTATGTAAGCTTTGAAAGTTGCTTGATCCTTTGAAAAATTGAGATTAAAAAACATTAAGATTATTGGTATACTTGGGAGTATCTCAAGTCTGCGGACATTAACAGTGATGTGGCCGGCTCATGGAGATAGCTACAGAGCTAGTCCGGCGCTAAGCTTTTGAAAACTTTGGAAATGGAGCCATAATTTAAAGATGCCCGGAGCCACAAAATGCCTAATACATAGAACCACTTAAATTATTTGGACAACAAGGGTTAGAGTGACTTTTAACTCGCATTGTTTCTTCAAAAAATATCCCACCCTAATTTAGATACCCACAATTCCCAAAAATATTTTTACCTCATAACAATTCATCTCCTGAAGACGATGATTGAGTACAAAGTCAATACCTCTTTCAACATGTTCTTCAGTTCCTTCATCCATCTCTTCAGCTGACGGGTTTGCCCCAGCCAAAGCAATATCTCCTTCCTTTCGAACAACTTGGCGTCCTTTGAACTCAAAAATGAGATCGTCCACAAGTTTCATCGGATAAGAGTCAGAGGAGAGCTCGTCCTCTAAATATTGATAAAATTGATTAATCCTTTGTTGTTCCCAAAGTCCCCCATTTGTCCCTCACACCCCCCCTCCAGTTCAGAGGGTCAACCACCGAACATATCAAGCCAAAGAAAAAATGAGAAGTACCACCCTAGAAATCACCCGACCCTTAATTAAAAAGATATACCTGTAAAAACGTCCTTGTAAATAATCATATTTCTTCAAAAATTTCTTTAAAAAGTATCTAATTAAGCTTAGAAATAAAGATTAAACATAAAAAGCAAGAAAAGATAAATACACGTTTGAAAAATAAACAAATGAAAAAATTCAAGAAAAAAACAGCTTAAAATATATTTTCAACAGAATAGCAACAAATTAATTATTTCATTAAAAACTTCCATTTTAATCAAATAAGCCAAAGCCCATATCGTCATCAGACTCTTCTTTCTCTTCAACCTTTTTGGCTGGTTCTTCCTTTGCAGCTGCCGGCGCAGCGGCGGCAGCAGGAGCTGCAGCAGCCACAGCTGATGCAAACTTTGACGGATCAGCTAGATACTCTTTAAGCTTTAAAAAATTCATTTTATTCCCAAAAAAATTTAAAGAAACCTTCTCAGCCTCTTTAAAAGTAACATCAGTTTCAGCAGAAACAGACAACAAACGCTTGAATGCGTTAGCAATAATATGCGGAATAGAAGCCTTTGTTGGATACGAAATTCCGAGAGAGACGGCCGCTATGTTTCGAACTCCATTCATAAAGCGAGCCCTCAAATCATCCATAGTAATGTCCAAAACATCAGGAGAATAAATTGCTCCAGTGTCATAAACCTTTAAAAATGAGAAGGGCAAAATTCAAGTTTATACCCACCCTTTTCCTTACTCAAAGATTAAAATGGTCTGATGTGAGTTTGCTCCTCCCTCAATTCTACCCTATTTTCCCATGGCATACAATCAGTCAATCAATATCTCCCCTTCCTCATTTCCTTACTCAAAGTTTATAATGTCAATTTAAAAATAGTAATCCTCTTCTTGAATGTTGTGCCAAAGGGAAAAAGGAGGTTGGGGAAGGAGAGAAGTCTGAGACAATTCTTAATAGTTTGAGGAAGGAAAAAAGGAAGTTACCGACAAAAATAAGCCCAAGAATTTTTTTAAAATTTAAACCTGCTGTACAGCAAGACCATAAGAAAACGGTTGAATGTTCAACATGTTAAGCAAAGCAGCTTCAGAAGCGCCGACCTTTTCGCCAAGTTTAATAATATGAACTTCATTCAGAATCTCAATAGTTCCACGAGAAATTTTTGTTGGAATTTGAAGTGCTTGGAAGAAAGAAGTCTTCTCAGGTCCCATTCCAGTATTTTGCGGTGGCAGTTTGACATCGAGAGGTGCTAAAGCACCAGCTTTGGCTGGAGCACCCTAAAATAATTTTTCTTCAAACAATGAAGACAAACAAACCCGCTTGTTTTCCAGCAACTTTTTACGAATTTCAGACAAATCCTCAGTCGTAAAAACAAATCCAACATTGCCAACAATATAAGGAAGCAGTTTTTCAAGCAGTGGATTCTTCTGCAAATGACCTCGAATTGCCTTCCTTATCATTGTATTCTTTCCCATCAAAATCTCGCCATGTCCTTAATAGAAATTAGAGTAAGAGAGAGGAAGTTAGCACTGAGCAGGGATCGATCCTGCGACTCCCTGGGAGTTATTGGTCGATCGGCGCTTTCGCTCATCAATTGCAAGAGGGGGATGTCGGGTTGAACAAAAATTCGGCTCGGGCTTCAAGTCGAAAAAAGGTTCAGGTATTGAGTAACCCCGTCTGTAACCTGGTACCGACAGAGCTATCAGGGCGATGCTTTAATCTCTTAAACCCTTAAATGGATCATCCCCACACTTTCTTACGTTACGAAATTTAAATTTTACGAAACCTCGCATTGCTTGACGAATTTCCTGCATTTGCTTAGAACCAACATTGTCAACGCCAACTAACAAACATTTTGGATAGTCGTCAAAGAGAGACTAAAATTTATTTTTAATTAAAAAATACAAAAATATATACAATGATTCGAGTAAAATAATTTGCTTTCCAAGCAGTTCTGTCTCCTTTGCCCATGATAGCAGCACTCAACAACAATAAATTTAATATTAAAAACTAAAATCTAAAACAGAAATTAATTGATTTTAACCTAAAATTACCGTCAGCGCCTACAATAATAAAAAAAATTCCAATAAGAAAAAGACAACGAGAAAACAGAGAAAACAAGATAACAGGGTAAGGGATGTTTCAGTGCCGCGGTTAAGTGAAGGCCGTTTCAGTGTTGATTCAGTGAAGCAGAGGTTGGACTGAAAGGTTGAACTGAAGTGTCCTTTACCAATAAAAAACGTTTTGGGGCCTATTGAGTCCCACTAGAAGATTTTCCCAGGACTTTTCTATTTCAGCCTCTAATTCTCTAATTTAGTTTAAAAAGAGAGAGTTCGCATTTCGATGAGATTTGCTAAAGATTTAGACAAACGGATTTCTCCATTTTTGTCCATTTCTACAGTAAATCACGTCGTATTTTTATTTTATTTTACTGTAGTATTTTTAAATTGTTGTTGTATTTTCAGTTTTAGATGTCTTAAATACATTTTTATTTCCAAAATTCACCCTGACAATTTATTGAAATGGCTTATCGAAACAACGGCTTAAACTGCATAGAATTACGTGAAAAGCTCAAAATTGCTTTGGAAGAAGAATATGAAGAAAAAAGGAGAACACGATTAAAGGTTTTTTTTTGCTTAAATTTATTTAGAACACCCACTGCCGTGTTGTTCCTTTAACGGAGGTTCCTGGTGGCAGTTGGTGGTTGTTTTAGTGTTTCTTTGAATTTGTCCATGTACTGGGTGTACACCTCAAGTGGGGAGACAATCGGGTCTAGCCTTGAGTCAGCAAGGTATTGACATGCCAATTAACAAGTACACCCCAATCCCCTCCACATTTATTGCATAATTAGCCTTCGATTGATATTTCACTGGAAATTTATTTAAAATTTTAGGAAGGAATTACTGGAGTTGGCGAAATATTGAAACAAATTAGAGATCCTCGCTCTACCGGAAAACAGCGTATTATTCTAAACGAGTTGGGAGCGCCCATAAATGGCACATCTTTTTCATTTTGGAGTGCAAACCGGGCACCAGCTTCTTTTATTGCTTCAGCAACTGGAGAAAATACTGCACTGCCTTCTACCTCTAATAATCATCTTGTTAATGGTATTTTTTTTAGTTTTTTTGGAGACTTTTACTAGCTTCAGACAGCAAGGGCGTAGCCAGGGTGGCTAAAGGTCCCTACCAAAAATTTTTCATTTTCCCCCATTTTTGGGGGTGGCTTCAGCCCCCTTGCTACGCCCTTGTTCTCACTCTCTGGCTAACCAAATTTTTTAAAACTCTCTTAAATGGGGATATATTTTATTTGGGGATATCTTCTTTAACGAGGTTCGGTTACTTAAACAAAAATCATTTTTAAAGGCTTAAGCAATGTTGTAACAACATTAAAACCAATTCCTGTTCTCGTTCACTCCCAAAGTTCCGATGAGATTTCTGCTGCTGTTCTTCACCCAACAAAGCCTTCTGAAATTCGTAAATTAATTCGTTCAAAAATGGTTCGTTGCCGTATTTGTAAAAATCGGTTTTTGGAACGACATTTGTATGAAAGACATTTACGTGATAAACATCCAATTGAATTTTTGGCTTATGAAATACAGCAAGAAGAGGAAATGATTCAACAAAGAAAAGAAGAGTTGGAAACAAATAGATTAGATGAAATAATTTCTGGTGGTTTTATTCCTCCACAAGAAGATTTGGATGCTTCTAAATATGAAGTTGATATTAACGAGTTTGTTTTCTTCTTTTAATCTTTCTAGGCATTAGTTTCCCCTGCTCTCCTCTTTATTTAATTCTTGAGTTATGCTCGGGCTATTTTGTCAAAAAAATTTTGAGTTTAGGACTCTCGACGTTTGATTCCGATTCTTTGGCAATAGGCATTGATTTTTGCACTGTCCCGGGAGATTCGTTCCTGGCTTGGGCTTCGGAGGCTAGGCTTCGAATCTAGTCCATAAGACATTGGGCGGTTTCAGGCCCAACTACTCCAAGCCTCGGCCCGGCGTTTTATTTCTAAAATAAAATTTTTTAGAATTCCACTTCCCGGTGAATTAACAGGCGGAATTCCTGCACGTTTTGATCGTTATGGTGTTTTATTTCAACCAAAACGTATTTACAAAAAGAAAGTTTCTCCACAATGCATGTTTTGTGATAAACGTTATCGAAACGAGCATTCACTGAAAAAACATATTTCGTTAAAACATGCAGAATCTGCTGAATGGGTTCAATGTTTGAAATGTTTCAAGCCTGTTCCAAGTAAAGAAGAAATGCAAAATCATTTGTGTGAATTGGTTTGGGAAATTTTTTTTGGAATTTTTTCTTCTAATTTTTTACTTTTTTATAGGTCTTTATTTGTTTTGAATGTGTTCCAATTCGTAATTTATGTACGGAAGTTAGACTTTTTAATCATCGTGCAAAATTTCATCGTGGTCAACATTCTGGATTTAAATGCAATCTCTGCACGCAAAAATTCCTAACACCAAGAAAATTACGAAAACACAAGAAAATGTCTCATGTCTTCACAAAAACTTATCAATGCCATTTTTGCGAGGAATTGTTTATCAGCGAAACTGCGGTAAAGAATATTTTATTACGATTAAGTCTCATTATCAAATACCCCCAATATTAGATACTTCCAAACCTCTATATAAGAGACTTCAAAAATTTGGTTGGCCACAGGGCGGAGAGTTTTCTCTGAGCGATACCTTCTATTTAAGAGACGTCTTATAAGATACCCCCAATATAAGTTATAACTCAATTTAAGCGACGCTCTATAAAAGTTTTGTTGATCACTGGGTGTGGGAGTGCTGTCTAAACGATATCCTCTATTTAACGTACACACATTATAAGAGACCCCGTTATAAGAGACTATTTTCCATCTCCAAGGGGTGTATTATAGTGAGGTTTTTGCCTCTATTTTGCTTTTATTTTAGTCTATATATTTTCTTTTTAAAGGTCACTACTCATGAACGTATTCATACTGGTATAATAAAATTTGAATGCAAAATTTGTGATTTCAAATGTAATCGTTTTCTAAATATGGAAGAACATCGAAAAGATGAACATGGCTATTTATGCACAATTTGTCAATCAAAATTGGGTGAATGGGCAGATTTGAAAAACCACATGTTAATTGAACATGGCGGTTATTTGTCCTCAGAATTTAATTCAGGTTCAAAAGTGTCAAGTAGTAGAATAATAAATAAGGGAACAAGAAAATATATTTTTTGTGTATATATTTGGTGTGGTGCGTGGATGTGCCCGTCCCTTTCGCCTTCCTCCGAATTTTCACCTTCTTTGGTGTTTCGGCTTTCGTGTTTCATTTTTCTTTCGTGTTTCGAATTTCGGCTTTTTGACGAAAGTTAATTTAAAAAACGAAATATAGTGGACGAAATACCAAAAAAGACGAAAATTCGGCGAAAGGTGTTAGAGAGACTATACATTTTTCTGGTGTGGGTCTATTTAACCACTCTAAATTAATATTTTTTAACGTTAATAATTTTTTAAAATTTTGTTGGTCTTTTTATAGAGTCAATAGCCGGCAAAATTACGCCTTGGGCTAGTACTCTTTTTTCTTTCGAATTTTTTCTAATTAACAAGCTTTTAGAAAAATCTGTTTTTAGCCAAATAATTTATTTAATAGAGAAGGAAAAAATGATTGCAGAGAAAAAAAGATTAAATTAATTAATTTTAAGCCCTTTAAAATAACTTAATTTTTAGTAGAATTTTATTTTAATTAAAAGTGATCTCATTTAAAATAAAGATTTCCAAAAAAAGATTATAATTAATATATTCACTGTTTAATTTCATTTATTTTTTTAAATTTATTTTTTTAATATTTATTTTCAGCTTTTCTTTAAATAAGCTTTTAGGCTACATCGAAAGCCCTCGTGTTTGGCTTATGTTCAAAGGCGAATAGAAGAAGAATGAAAATGAATGAAAAATGCCAAAACTGAAGAATTAGAATTTTGAAGATTTGCGGCAAAAGAAATCAAAAAAAGCTTCAAAAAATGATTTTTAATAAATTTCCCCCATTTTATCTTTTTTTCACACACATTTATTTTGACTATTTTTACATTGTTGTTTTTTTTCTCTTCAGGATATAAAAATTAGAAAAAATAATTTATTGAGACATTTAGTAGGCTAGGAAAAGTAAGGGCATCGATGACTCTGAGATAATTTTGTGTAAAAGTATTTTGTTATAACGTACATCCTTAGGGCCAATAAAATGTATCTTATAACGAGGTGAATCGGCTCCCATACAAAATACCGAATTCTTAAAATATGGAATCTCAAAATCGCGAATCGGCTAAAAAAGCTCAAAATATGGAATCTCAAAATATCGAATCTCAAAATATGGAATAGGCAAAAAAAAGCTCAAAATATCGAAAAATATCGACAATGCGGCAAAGGCCAGTTGAGTCTGAACAAAGTTGTGACCAACTTCTTCGTAAAAAAATTTTAAAAATAAGAGAAAGTATTTTTCTAAGGTAAAAAAATGTGCTGATTACGAATCTCAGCTCGGATTTTGAAAAAGTCGAATCCCGGACCCGAACCGAATTTCGAATCCCGAACCGAATTTCGAGTTTCCGAATGATAGCTCATCTGAAAGAGCACGTCGAGCTGCATCAAATGACACCAAAATCAATGAAATCCGACCTGATTGGACTGAGTTACAGACCCCTGAATAATCAGAAAAAGACCTGCAGCGGCACTCAAACGGCCCTTTTCGTTTTTAAAAAATTCGACATTTTTAACTACTTTTTAGCCGATTCGGTATTTTGAGCTTTTTTGGCCGATTCGCGATTTTGAGATTCGATATTTTAAGATTCCATATTTTGAGCTTTTTTGGCCGATTCCATATTTTGAGATATTTTTACCGATTCGCGATTTTGAGCTTTTTTAGCCTATTCGCGATTTTGAGAATTCGGTATTTTGTGCGGGCACGGGTGAATCTGAACCTCCTCACTATAAGAT